TACTATGTGTCAGGCAGAATTCTAGAAATTGGGGGTACTGACCAAGTTCCTGCTCTGACAGAGTTTATATCCTGTATAGATATTATCTCACAGGAGGAGATAGACAATTTAAGTTTTACATATATAGTATTAAAAGTGGTAATAAAGTGCCAATAAGAGCAATATTGGGAGATAGACAGTGACAGGTGTGTGTGTGTGCGTGTATGTGTAATGTATTTTTTCTAGGATTCTCAGTGTAGGCTTTTATGATAAGATGACATTTGAGCAAGGACATGAAAAAAATGAGGGAGAGAGTCCTGCGGATATGTGGGGTAGCACTTTCTAGGCAGAAGACCAGCAAGTATAAAGGCCCTGGGGTAGAAGTGCCCTTGGCTCGTTTGAGAAACAGCAAGTATGACTTGGGTGTGACTACAGTGGAGTGAATGAGGAGGAAATGGTAGAGATAAGAGTAAGATAATATAGGGTCTTATGGGCTCTGGTAAGGACTTTAATTTTATTTAAAGTGAAACATGGAGCATTGATCAGAGGAGTAACATGATCTCAATTACTTTTCAGAAGGATCACTCCAGTAGCTGGTTGGAGTCTGTGATAAAGTAAGGCAGCAATGCAGGCTCAAAGCCAGACAAAAGAGGAAGTTCTGTCAGTACCCGAAGTAATGACATGGATTGGATCCATATGGTAGTGGTGAGGCTGGAGAAAAGAGCTGGGAACCTTAATATAGTTTGAAGATAAGTTTATAAGATATAGAATCCAGATAAGTGGACAGGGCTGGAGATATTTAAGGGGAGTTGTCAGTGTAGAGATGGGACTGCATGAGATATCTGAAGAGGGAACGTAGTTAGAGGGCAGAAGAGGCCCTAGGATTGAAATCTGGGACACCATGCTGTTTAGAGGTTGGAAACAGGAGGAGGAACCAGCCAAAATGATGGGGGAGTGAATATGATGGACAAGGAAGACCCAAAAGTGTGGCATCCTGGCCAGAGCCAAGTGAAGAAAGTGTTTCATGAAGGAGTGTGGGATCAACCATCTCAAATGCTGTTGAGAGATTGAGTGGCATGGGCCAGATGATTGAGGGTTGGATTTGACAACATTGAAATTGTTGACAATTTTGACAAGAGCAGTTTAGAGGAATAATTGCATTGAATGAACGAGAAAAGAGGGTGTGGAGATAACAGGCAGAGCTAACTTTCTAGGGGTTTTACAGAGAAGTGGGCTGGAGAGGGATATTGATAAAGAAAATTTTTATTTGGTTTTTAAAAATGGAAGAAATGGGACACCTGGGTGGCTCAGTTGTTAAGTGTCTGCCTTTAACTCAGGTCATGATCCCAGGGTCCTGGGATCGAGTCCCACTTTGGGCTCCCTGCTCAGCAGGGGCCTGCTTCTCCCTCTGCCTGCCACTTTCTCTCTTTCTCTCTCTGACAAATAAATAAATAAAATCTGTAAAAAAATAAATATGGAAGAAATGAAAGTATGTGTATCAATGTGAATGATCCCGTAGAGAAGAAAATTAGCTTTAAATAGGAGTGTGATTATCCACCTTTGAAATAGGAGGGAGGCAATGTATAAGGACATAGATGCAGGTTAGTGGAGGGGGTGCATGTAGATTTACCCTGATTGCTTTTATTTTCTCAGGAAAATAATAACCAAAGTTAGCAAATAAGAGTTAGGAGGAGAGCAGTGTGAGAAGAGAGGAGAAAGGGTGAAATTGAATTGAACAGGAAAATGTAGGAGTGCCAGGCAATATGAGGGTTCACTCAAGTTTTGTGGTTATGAATTCAGATGAAGGCAAGTCAGTATGGTGGTGGGATTTTCTCTAGCCATCCTCAGCTGCTTGGGTGCAGGCCTGGGGGAGTAGGAGAATTGGATTTTCCAGGATTATGGTCAGCCAGGCAAGCACAAGAAAGTTTTTCCAGGCAGAAAACTTATAGAGGAACAGAAGGGGAAGGAAGTTGGGTGAATGTAAAGGAGTAGTTAGAATGATTATTCAAGGTGGCTAAGCTGGGTAAGAGAGGAAATAAGAGTCAACAAGCTTTATGGACAAGAAAAGGCTGACAAGGTTGGATATCCTGTCCTAGTCCTAGAGAACTAACAGAGTTGAGGTGCTAAAGAGAGGTAGCTGGATATACGGTTATATGGTGGTCACAGAGTGGAATGCTGAAGACTGAGTTTATAAAAAGACTCAATTATTGGCAATGACACATACTTGTATAAATTGCAACCTGGTGGTTTTTTGTTTTTTTTTTTAATTTTATTATGTTAGTCACCATACAATATGTCGTTAGTTTTTGATGTGGTAATCCACGATCCATTGTTTTCATATAACACCCAGTGCTCCATGCTGTACGCACCCTCCTTAATACCCATCATCAGGCTAACCTATCTCCCCTCCCCCCTCTCCTCTAAAACCCTGTTTTGCAACCTGGTGGTTCTTGAACAATGGCCCTGTAATGTGGGAAGTAGTCAAGCATTCCTTGGTTGCAGATAACCTACCATTTGGTTATTAAAAACCACTATTTTATGAAGTATTATATTATTGAAATAATGTTAAAGGAACATGAACTTAATATTATTGCATTACTGAGTCTTTTTTTCAAAAAGAATTTTACTTAAAATAATTGAGAAAATATGAAGACTCCCTTCGGGCCCAGGAATTCCACATCTAGAAGATAATTAGAGATGTATACTAAGATGTGTTTTCACACTGTTTACCACAAATTAATTATAATAGCAAAATTTGGGGAAAAGTATATTGGGCATATATTAATTAAACATATTATGGAATATTTATATAATGGAATGCTATACAGACATTAAAATATGACATGGAAAAATATTTTTTGGTATGGGAATATATTCATCACACATTACCAAGAGAAAAGCAGTGTATATATATATATATATATATATATATATATATATTTGTTTGGTAAATAGCATAGGTCTGTTTGAATAAAAAATACTGCACAAAAATAGAACAGTAATTAACTTTGGTTGGTGGCATTGTAGATATTCTTTCCTCTTTATGGGAGCGATTGTCTCTGGTTTTCAAGGTGTTTTAATTGAGCATGCATCTTGAAATCAGAAGATAAAAGCAAACAATAGTTGCTATATTAAAAATTCTACATTTTGTAGTAACCTATATCTGTTAACAATTATTGCCTGTTTATAACTTGGTTCTTTCCTTAAACTTGAGCAGAAGAATTCATCCCAAGTTATTCTTAGTTTGATTAGGGCTCCTATGCCTATAGGTAGCTAAACTTGACATTCTTAGAACAGTTATTTAGCTTCTGTTTCATCTGAGAGGTTTTTTTTTTTTTTAAGATTTTATGTATTTATTTGACAGAGAGATAGAGCACAAGTAGGCAGAGAAGCAGGCAGAGGCAGAGGGAGAAGCAGGCTCTCCGCTGAGCAGGGAGCCCAACGCGGGGCTTGATCCCAGGACCCTGGGATCATGACCTGAGCCACCCAGGTGCCCCTTATCTGAAAGATTTTTAATGGCATAAACTTTTTCACTCTTTTAACTACTTCTGTTTCCATCTGTCACTTCACATGTAGCCTGAAAAAATAATAAAGCAATGATTTCAACTCAATTCTAAAGGCATATCTAAAGGAAGAAATAATCTTTCTCCTTTTGTAGTCATAAAAAGATGTTTTTCTTCTTAAAAAAACAAAGCATTTCCCTCTATCATCAGATATTTAGCTGATCAGTGTTTACTGATGAATTTCTCGAATGTGAATGCAACTGGCAACAGTGACTGCAGGCTTCCAGATCACTTCCAAATCGGGCTCTTAATTTAAGAGCTCTGTCCCATTGTCTTTTCTGGAAACAAGCATTTAAAAACCATGTTTAATCAAAACCAACCATAGTTTTATTTTCCGTTTAAAGGAAATCTAACAATCTCTGAACATTCTCATTGGGTTGTCATAAGGATCTAGTGTTTTTTGTTAATGGCCTGGTTTGTTTCTGATTTCTCTGTTGCTTAATCTCCTGGGGCGTAGAGCCAAGTGCATGTTTTCAACATTCAACTATTTTCTCTACACCCCAGGAAATGTGAACTGTGTGTCACATTCAATGAAAGACTGTGCTTCCACCATGGAGTCTTCTTCATCTGAACATCTACTTTTGTTTGTCAGTGTTAAAATTCTAGTTTCTTGCACAATCTGAGGCAATTAAGTAGTTCTTCTGAGTCCCTTATTCTAGTACTGGATTTTTCCGAATGAAATTTCCTCCTGCCAATGTACATTTTTAGATTCAAATATGATGTAGAAATTTTACTATCTTTCTGGCTTGGTTTGATATTTTTCCTGTATTATAAGCAAGATTGAAAGAGATATGCATATGTCAGAATTTTCTTCATATCAATGACTTAGTGGACAAAGAATGAAATTAAATTTGCAGAACATTTACTGGAAAGCCATCTACAGTAAGACACAACTTTTTATGAAGATGTTGTCAGATTAATAATTATTTGGTTTGACAGTCTAACTTTTGACTTTGTGTGTGTGTGTGTGTATGGCTACATGTGTGTTTCTGTGTGTGTGTGATCTCTCCCACCAGCTGTACATGCTTCTATTTTTTAGCTATAGAAAGAATTCCTAAATAACAACCATTTCATTTGTCTGAATTCCCTTCCAATATTTACCCAGATGTATTAATTTTAGCAGAGCTATAATCATACACATATACCTTTTCAATTAAATGTACACTATGTCATCACCAAACGAAAACAAATTGTGGAAAACACAATTCTGAATGAGTGGAAAGTTTGAATTGCAGGATATTTATGGAACTTGTCTCAGAGGCATTGCATCAAGGCTGCTTAGTGTTGCTCCCAGAGGTTTTGCTTTACTGAGAAACCAAGATGGTTATTTATAATCAATTTCTCAAGGGCTTGTTAATTGTTCTCAAAGGAAGGGTGCTTAAAAAGACTGTTTTTTTTTTTCAGTTGGGATCTGTTGGCTCTCTGAGGTATTTATTAAAATGCAGCTTCTATTTCCAGTTTTAGTTCTAACATGTAAAGACCTTGAAAGTTGTCACTCCTGCCTTTACAACAAGAAAAAGCTGAACAAACTGAAAATGAGCATGGTTTCTTGGACCCATCAGAGAATTGAGGTTGCAGAACAAATCACCACCCTGAAATGTGGAAAGACCAGCAAATCTAGTCATAGCTGAGATCCACTCACTTGGCAGGAAGAACTACTGGAATCATAGACTGGTATGAACACATAAGTGGTCAGTTTTTGATGAATTAGATGGAGGCTGATTTTGTATTAGTTTGAGAGTGAAAACCTACTTGGGGCTATAGTCTTGGAAGTGGCGGGTCGGGGGGGCGGTCTCTGCATTGCATGGGTTTACCTCCAGGAACCTTACCATGTTCTCATGGTAAAGAGAAAGAAAAATCCGTTCATAGCTCTGGCAAGGAGAAGGGAAAAGCAATTATTGTGAAATATGACTAAACGCTCTCCATCACAAAAGCCTGCTCTCTGTGGGGGAAACAGTATCAGAGTCTTAGCCCACCTAGAGGAAGGGCATGTCTCTAATAGCCCCCTCTACCCTTCCTGTCTCACCTAAGCAGTATAGGGGGAGATAGGAAGCAAACACTGGTGAAGGTTCTAGCCCAGAGATGCAGGCCCGCTAAAAGACAGTTTAGTCACCTGGCCACCAAAGCAACTGGGCTCCAATACCTCCAGCTAGATTACAGCTTAAAGATCTGCAAGATGCAGACTCCCAGTGGGAGTTCTTAGGGAAACCCAAGGACACCAGAGGAGACATAAATGAGGCCCTAGAGGAATTTGAAGTCATTGGCACCTATAGTTACAGTACACATTAAACACAGCCCAGTTAAACGTAAAACCTCCCACTACAGGCTTATATACCTTAGTTCCTTTTTTTTTTTTTTAAAGATTTTTATTTATTTATTTAACAGTGATAGCACAAGTAGGCGGAGCAGCAGACAGAGGGAGAAGGAGAAGCAGGCTCTCCGCCAAGCAGGGAGCCTGATGAGGGGCTCGATCCCAGGACCCTGGGATCATGACCTGAGCCGAAGGCAGCCGCTTAACTGACTGAGCCACCCAGGCGCCCCCCTTAATTTCTATTAATCAATATGGTATACTTTCATCAGAAAATTACAATGCATGATAAAAGTTAAGAAAAATCCCTATCTGAAGAGACAAAGCGGCCATCAGAACCAGACTCAGATATGACACAGATTTGAAATGATGAGATAGGATATTTTCTTTTATTTTTTTAGAGGGACAGAGGGAGAGAGAGAATCTTAAACAGGCTTCATGCCCAGCCCAGAGCCTGACATGGGGCTCGGTTTCAGGAGCCTGAGATCATGACCTGAGCTGAAATCAGGAGTCAGATGCTTAACCAACTGAGCCACTCAGGTGCCCCTCAGATAGGAAATTTTAAATAACCATGATTAATATGTTAAGGACTCCAATGGTAAAAGTAGAAAACATGCAGGAACAGATGGATAATTTAAGTAGAGAGAAGAAAACCCTAAGAAAGGGCGCCTGGGTGGCTCAGTTGGTTAAGCGACTGCCTTCGGCTCAGGTCATGATCCTGGAGTCCCGGGATCGAGTCCCGCATCGGGCTCCCTGCTCGGCAGGGAGCCTGCTTCTCCCTCTGACCCTCCCCCCTCTCGTATGCTCTCTATCTCTCTCATTCTCTCTGTCTCAAATAAATAAATTAAAAAAATCTTTAAAAAAAAAAAAAAAAGAAAACCCTAAGAAAGAATCAGAAAGAAATGTTGGAAATCAAAAATAGTGTATCAGAAAAGAAGAATGCCTTTTGTGGACTTATCAATCACTAGGCACAGCTAAGGAGAGTCAATGAAAGGAAATGACGATAGAAATTTCTCAAACTGATATGCAGAGAGAAAAAAGAGTGGGGGAAAAAAAAAAAGAAAACCAGAATAGAATATCCAAAAACCGTGGGACAATTTCAAATGGTGTAACATACATGTAACTGGAATATCAGAAAAAAAAAAAAAAGCAGAAGAAATATTTGAATTAATAATGGCCAAATATTTTCCAAAACTAATTACAGACACCAAACCACAGAATCAGAAGTCCGGAGAACAACAAGTGGGATAAATAACAAGTGACTACACTTATACATATTATATTCAAACTGCAGACAGAGAAGAGAGAAACTATAGAGGAACAAGGATAAGAATTAAAACAGACTTCTCATCAGAAACTGTGCAAGAAAAGAGTGAAGTCCTTAAAGTGATGAAAGAAAAAAAAACTCTACCAACCTAGATTCTATATCCAGTGAAATTATCCTTCAAAAGTGAAAGAGAAACAAAGCTTTCTCAGGAAAACAAAACTGAGGGAATTCATTGCCACCTGTCCTGCAAGAAATGTTGAAGGAAGTTCTTTAGGTAGAGGGAAATTGATACCGTCAGCAACTGGGATTTACATAAAGGAAGAGCATCAGAGAAGGAATAAATAAAGGTATATTAAAATTACTTATTTTTAATTGATCCAAAAGACAGCTGTTTGTTTTAATTAATGATAATAACAGTGCACTGGGTACTTACACCACACAATAAGTGAAATGAAGGACAGGGGTGTGATAAGGGACAGGCAGGAGGCAGTGGGGTACTCTGTTAAAAGGGGCCTGTGTTACATGTGAAGTGGAATAGTGATTTTTAAAGGTGGCACTGGGTTTTATATGAAAACAATGAATCGTGGATCACTACATCAGAAACTGATGATGTATGGTGATTAACATAACATAAAATAAAATAAAATTTTAAAAAAAGGTAGACTTAGATTAGTTGTAAATGCATATCACAGACTCTAGGTCAGATGTTAAGATTGCTTTTAAAAGAGGTATAATTGATAGGGTAAGGAAAGAGATAAAATGGAATTACATAAAACCTTCAATTAATACCAGAGAAGGCAGGAAAAGAAAGGGGGGAAAAGGAACAAAGAACAAATACAAAGAATAAAAAACAGTTACAAGTGGTAAATAAGTTTACATTGTGCATCTTTCGTTCAAGTAAAATGTTTCAAGACTTGTGTCTGCTATGGCCTGTTGGAGACTTTTTCACTAGCATCCAGCTCAGGTGTGAGGGCAGCCACTGCATTTGTGGGACACCGAGCAGCAGTGTCCTCAGTTTGGGCTCCTTTGCTTATTCCTGGGCCTCTTTCTCCTCTGCTGCCTCCTTTGTGCAATTGGCTTGAATGGAACCCCTGGAATGTTAGACGAGAGGAAAACCATGGGCCAGAAGAGGCTCATTCCTTTGCCCTATGGAGCTCTCAGGAAAGAGGTCTCACTTAGAATTTTTGGTTAAGCAAATGTAGGTAGCAATGACAATAAACCCTTGGGGAAATAACCATACAATTTATATTCTGGAATTCCATGATGCCATCAAATCATGAGAATAACAAGCAAGGTCTTGCTCCCACCTCCCCTGCTGGAGTAGTCTAATTTCCCGGTGGATTTATCAAATGTTAGTTTTGTAATAAGGCAAATACCATAAAACTTCAAGACTTGATATTGATCTAATAAGTAGTCATTGGATATAGTCAATTGACATAATATTAAATTGGGGGATTCTATAGAGTAAGTAAAAGGGCTCTCACCAGGGCATGGCCTTAGAAATATCTCTATGCTTTTTCTTATCAAGCATATCCTTCCATCATGCCTTTCCACCTCCTCTTCCTCTATTAAAATTCTATTTTAATCTTTATTTTCACTGTAAAATTCACATGCTCATTCTGTCACATTAATTAATATGCAAATGATTCACTTTCATGTTTATTTGTCACCAATTTGGGTCCCTTCTGCATGTCCTATATAGAATTAGCACTTGATCACAATAAATATGCTTTCTAGTACTGAAAGACAGTTGCCTAGGGTTACAACATTCCTGAATGACAAACAATCAGTTTTCATCGTTCAGTTTTTTCTAGGGATTCCAAGAGTGTCTGTTGGGCAAAAAATAGGCTCTGCCTTTCTTTTCCACACTTAACAAATACTGGTCAGTTTATTTGCCTTCAGAGGTCCATAAGACGTTTATCATTGTAAATTATCATTGTAAATTACTACAGCTTCGAGTTCCTAAGAGGACATTTAAAATACTTTCCATATTTTAATGTACTCAGAGGCTTTCATACAATTAGACTAACATTTCCTAAACCGACGTTCCATGGATGTTAATAGCTTGCCACAAAAGTTTCTTGCTGAAATATTTTTGAGAGAATGTATTAAACTCACTTTAAAAGGTTTTTAACACACTAATATACATAATGAATTGCTTGAAAGTGGTTTATTGTTAAATATTTGGACAGTGCTCATTAGGACACTTCCTAGAAATCCCTGCATGACAAATTTAGCAGTTAACAGGCATTTTTATTATTAATTTTGAGTAGACATTTTTCGAGAGAAACCATAAGTCTGAACACACACACACACACACACACACACAAAGCTACTTCAGAACGTTGTTTGTGTTGGTTTGTTTTTGTGCATGAACCAATCACTTATCATGTAGGGACTGAGCTTGAAGATGAGATGATGTTTATGATGCAACCAATATTCTGGCTTCTAAGAAGAGATGAAGAGATTCTTAGGACAGATCAAGTACTTAAGTAGGAAGCTAAGGGTGGAGGTGAGGGTGGGGGATTCTTTTTTTTTTTTTTTTAAAGATTTTTTTTTTTTTTTTTAGAGAGAGAATGAGAGACAGATAGCAAGAGAGGGAAGAGGGTCAGAGGGAGAAGCAGATCTCCCGCTGAGCAGGGAGCCTGATGTGGGACCCGATCCCGGGACTACAGGATCATGACCTGAGCCAAAGGCAGTCGCCCAACCAACTGAACCACCCAGGCACCCGAGGGTGGGGGATTCTTGATAAAGAACCTGGAAGTTGGAAACAGGTTAAAGGGTGGGTTAAGGGAAGAAAAGAAGAAAAGAGATGACGTTCTTGAAGCTATACAAAAGAGAAGCTATCCAGAGAAGCTGGATCTATAGAGAGAACATACAGAAATGAAGCACTCCTTAATATTTTGGAGCAAAGGAATGCTCCAAAATATTAAGGAGCCTTCCCAGGTGTTGGCAGCCTATGGAGTTCTATCATATCAGCCTGAGGAGGAAGAGACACATCCACAGGAACTGGTGTAGACTTCTTACTGAGAAGAATGGAGGCAGCCCAAGAGAGCACACACATAGTAAATAGGGAAGAAAGCATTTCTCCTGGATTACATTTCCAAAACAAGATGGTCAATGCTAAACCAAGTTACTGCTATGCACTTCTGCACGTTCACGTGGAATGAATTACGTCGCCTCAGGAGACATGGACTGTTTATCTAGTGGTTGCATTCCTGAGAAGGAAGCTAAAGGGCATGTAGCAGAAAATAATGAGCTTTGGAGTAAAAAATCTGAATCTCAATCCTAAAACTGTCGCTCACAAGTAGTGTGATTTGGGACAAGTTAGCCTTCCTAAATCTTAGTTTCTTCTTTTGTTTCTAAAACGAGAATGACGTCTGCTTCTTCAGAACATATTAATATGTGTAGAATAAATTTTGCACATAGAAGCAGAAGTGTTTTTTAAAGTTCCAAATATATTTAATTCAGCTTTGATTGAAGTGAAAACTAGAGGTCCACAAGTTATTTCAAGAAAGAAACTTTAGAGACCAAAAGGCAATGTTTTTTTTAAAAATCAAAACATGAGGGGCGCCTGGGTGGCTCAGTCGTTCAGCGTCTGCCTTCAGCTCAGGTCATGATCCCAGGGTCCTGGGTTCGAGCCCCACATTGGGCTCCCTGCTCAGCAGGAAGCCTGCTTCTCCCTCTCACTCCCCCTGCTTGTGTTCCCTCTCTCACTGTGTCTCTCTCTGTCAAATAAATAAATAAAATCTTTAAAAAAAGTAAAAAATCAAAACATGACATTCTGGAAAAGGGAAAACTATGGAGACAGTTAAGAGATCAGTGGTTTCCAGGGGATGGAGAGGAAGGAGAGAGGAGTAAGAGGAGCACAGAGGATTTTTAGGGCAGTGAGGATGATATTATACCATAATGATGGCTACATGCCATCACATATTTGTCCAGATCCATAGGGTGTGCAACACCAAGAGTGAACTGGAATGTAACCTATGGACTTCTGGTGATAATGTGTCCAATGGAGGTTCATCAATTGTAATAAATATACCACTTGGGTGGGGGAGGATGTTGATAGTGGGGAAGGCCATACATGTGTCAAAGTAGGGGGTATATGGGAAATCTCTGTACCTTCCTCTTGATTTTGCTGTGAACCTAAAACTGCTCGAAAAAAATTTTGTCTTAATTTAAAAAATCAAAGTGCTAGGTAGCGTTGCCTGGGTGGCTCAGTCGGTTAAGCATCTGCTTTTGACTCAGGTCACGATCCCAGAATCCTGGGATCGAGTCCTGCATCGGGCTCCCTGCTCAGCGAGGAGCCTGCTTCTCCCTCTGCCTGCCGTTCCCCCCTGCTTGTGCTCTCTTTCTCTCTCTGGAGGGGAATAAAATAAATAAAATCTTAAAAAAACAAAACAAACCCACAAAGTGCTAGGTTTAGTCATTAAACTTTGTTTAAATGGAGAAAAGATAGTGAATATTTATAAACCAATTACCTTAAAATTCATTTTAAATCTATAACTTGTCATCATAAAGTTGCGTTTCTGTTTAAATCTGTTTGCAAAAATATTTTTGTTTTAATAATTTAAGGACTATTGTGTTGTGACTATGAATGCTTGCTATAGGAAACTACAGTTGTTAAAATGTACAGGTAGAAAACTATTCACTTAAAATGATAACCATTTCTTAAGAGGTTGATTTCTCCCCTCAACCTAGTGAAAATTAATCCACTAACTATTCTTTGAGTGGTTTATGGTATGAACTACCAATATAAAAAGACTGTACAGACTCTCAAAATTATGAACAGATCTAAAGGACTTTCCTTTCTTGAAAAATGTATCTTACATATAATTTAAAAAGTGACTAAAATGCATTAACTTTAAAATACAATGCAGAGACTGAATTTTCCTCGACACATAACAAATATTTGTCTTAATCAGCTAGGTCTGCAACTGTTCCCTATTCCTTGAAAGCTCATATTCCACATAACCCACAGTCTGGCCAAACCTCAAGAATTCTAAATTAAATATTTTAAGTTAGAGATGGAGGACAACCCTACCTTTTCTCATCATGACATTGCTTCCAAGGAATTCTAACCTACCTGGCTGGCATGCTTGCTGGTTTAAGAGTCATTCTAACTTAGCTGGGAGACGAAGGACAGGGAAGATAC